GATCGCACTGCGGCGCCTTCTCGACGCTCTTTTTAAAACGCTCCACTGCCGCTGGAGCTGAATCAATTATTTTTGTCACACATTTTACGATATACATTTAAAGGCGCTCGCGCAGCCATAATAAACTTTCACATGCAGTGGTTTTCTTCATCTTTTGCACTTGCCGCGACATTTGCTTAATTTGCTAATACGGGACGACTTTTGATTAACGACATCATTAAGGATGCTGCCGGCACCGAAAACTCGAAATAATTTGTACACTTGACGCTAATTAGGGTGTTATTTTTAGCATGTTTAAATGTCATTAAAATGTCTGCTTTTATCTTTTATAATTCCATGTCTTTATTTGTTTTTTTCTCGTTTGGATATGCAGTTTTCATAAGATTTTCCAAACTGCGTTCTTCTTTAGTTCTAACTATTTTCGTTAAAAGAGTCAAACTTGTTTTTCGCGCTTGCTGGCAAGCAAACAAAAATAAACATTGGCCCAAACGCGGCGACCTGTGAGGCACTCATAAAGGAAACGACGCGACGTCAGCGGCGCACAGTGCAAGTACGTGTATCTTACGGATACACAGATACCGATACTGATACTACGCCACACCAGATTCTGCTTGCCGCGCCACAAACAACAGTTTGATGTATTGTTGTCTGTGCGTGTTGCTGTTCGTCTATATAGGAGTTACCAAGTCAACTAAAACATAAACGGGTTAGACAGCCGCAGCCACAGGCAACAGCAACAGTAACAACAACTTCAACTGCGCTGGGGGAACATCTGCAGTTATAGATAAATTACAACAACAGCAAGCAGAACGTGTATACGAAAGCGCCGTTATATGTATATATAAAATTGTAAATAACATTTTCAAAACTGCACTAAACATTATTTGCAGCCCAACATTTACAGGCGTATGTAACATATATGTGTGTGTAGTGACATTTATTTTTTCTTTCTTTCTTTTTTATAAACTGCTTTTAACACGTTATTTAGGGGATGGGGCTGTCACTTTTGATTCGCGTAATCAGCGCGCAAATCTTTGCCATACATTATCTATTTATTAATATAAACGTAAATAGATCTTTATATATATGTTTTATCAAACTGTTGAATGCCCGCCCGACCCGGTTACCATGGAGACAAGTTGCGTATCGTAAAATGCTTCGATGCCTCACATGGCCATTTCACAAAGCAATCCAACGGATGCCAGAGTCACAGAGCCGAGTGCCGCACAGAAATCGAATCTTAACGTACCTTACCGAACCGAACCGAACCGAACCGTTTGCATCGAATGCTCAGCGCGAACTGAGAGTCAGCCAACAAAGACGATGTTGACAAAGCCGAAAAACGACGCCGCTGGCGACGATGCGGTGAATGAGCATCGCGAGCGCCATAAGAGAGCTCCAGAGAACCGGTTGAACGTAACCCAACAAACAAATCGGGCATAACAAGAGCTCTTGCATTCTCAGCTAGTTCGGCAATACGAAACGGGAAACTTACAAGTGTTTATTTTCATATTTCAACTGAAATTCTGTTTAACATTGTCTCGCTATTCAAACATTGTCGTAAACAGGTAGCTTGTCGTCTCCAGGATTTTTCTTTTCGTTTTTTTGACTTCGAGCTGAAATGAAATTAAATTAAGAAATTCTTTCTAAAACAAAGTTTATCTTTTAACACTCGCTTACAAAACGAAAATATATATTATATTTCCTGTCCTTCCGTATGAGCTCAACTTCTTTCAGTGCATATGTATACTGGAATATATGTATACTCATCAGATGACTTCTACAGCTATAAAGCTAGAATTATCAGATTTGACGTGATTAGTCTAAAATATTTTGCCTGCACCCATTGCGTATGGCATGGCAAAGCGAATAAATCCTATCGCCAATATCATATTCATTAACTATTAAACTTTTTATTCTTTGTTAGCTTTACTTTATTCCATATTATATCATTTTAATAATGCTTACAAGAAATTGTGCATTTTTGCAAGATAATACCCAGCGATTGCCTTTGATTTCATTGCCGGGAAATGAACCAGACTTTGAATAGCCACTGCGGTAGACAGGCAGCCTGTTGCCCATTTAACTAGCCCGAACCCCGCCTGGTTATCTTTATTGTTTTGCCAGCTATTCATTGGTATGTGTGTTGTCTTTGGGACATTAGGTTGCCTGTCGCTGTCTATGCGACGACCAGACAAAACACCCTGCAACCTCATAAACTATTCAGCTCGCCGGCGACACTCCGAGTCACTTTATGAGCTATCCTTAAATGCCTTAAATTTACTTGAAAATTTCCTTTTTTTCTGTTTAGTCTAGTTAGGAATATATTTTACTTACAATTTTAAGATTATTTCTTGCGGTCGCACCGCAGTCTCATATTAAAATTAAAATCTAACTTTAGTTGAAGCGATTGTTGTCCTTTGTCTCATAAATCACTTGATATGTGGCGTTAAAGTTAAAAATACGCTGTTGTGGGTAAAAGTAACATAAGGAGTATGCACTTATGAAATGTTTAAACAAAAGCCGATTACTGGCAGCTTAAAAAAGTTCGCCGTCAATTGAACCTATTGAATAAATTAGGTATAAATTACAAGATACAAGATCTACTAAGTTGAATTATCTCTCCATTTATGCACATACTACATCACGACACAACATTAAGTCTCTGTGAACTAGGATTGGAAACAATAGAAAAGCGACAAGCTCTAAAATTGTGTAACATCTAATGAGTACAAGAGCAAAGAAAAGCAAATCGTTTATGGGGCTAGAAGTAATACATATTTACGTATGTTTATGAATAGTGAAGTTGTAGGAATTGTATAATATTAAACATGAACACTCATACACACATTCCGTCAAGTATATTCGCTTGCATACAAAAAATATGGATTCACGCTTCTTACTGCTGCTCCAATGCACAATTAAACTTAAAAGACACGACGCTTGCTGCGCTGCAAACAATAGAAATTCCAACAGCTCCTTGCTGTTTAGCATTCCGCTCAGATGGAACGTATTGAGGGAGCTGGCACTACCAGCACCCATTTATTGGTATGTGTAAGAATTCATATGACAACCACAACAACTATAAGCACGGCAATGATCACAAGTGCAGCGACAAACGCAAGAACTACAATAAAACCTAAGAATGCCCAGCGTGAAGATACCCTAGATCTACAATGCCGTAATATTCATTCGAGCTCCTTTCTAAAAATGCATTAGAAACAAAAATGTTTCAACTTCGCTCAAACCCACACTATGGTATACCTATTGCTAAATATCTTCTGGCAGTCGATAATCCAAATCAGCGTATTTAATAATGTGCAAGATTATAGATATATATCACTGATCTGTACATTAATTGCATAGATAATATTTGCCATATGCAAGCCAAACAAGACCGTAGACTGCCAATCGCAATTTATATATGGAAAATGAAGGGATTTTTTGGCTGTTTTAGACCTTTGCAACCATTTTTGATACAGGGTATAACAAGTAAGCAACGTTAAAAATGCCCAAGCGATCTGAAGAGGTTACGAAAACGCATTTATGGAAATTACAAACTCTTGGAAACAACGGGTTAAGCCATCAACAAATGTATATAAATTTTTTTTGTCGGAGCTCGGCATATTCGCTTTACTTTTATACGTACCTACACATACACGTGCATAACTGAATAATGTAATCCGCACTATAATTTCGGGAGATTGGAAGATTAAAATAAACGACAAATAGGAATAGATATAGTTATCTATTAAATTTATCTGTAACTTTACGATCTCTATAGGAAGTATTTCTATATATATAACATACCGGACTTGCCCGTGGCACGTATAATATAAATTTTCTAAGAAAGTTTTAAAAATGATTTTGACACTGATCGGACGGTAAACCAGCAACTTTCAAAAATCGCTGAAATCGCTGGGGTATGGGCTGTGCGTTGATCACCAATCAGTCAGTCAGTCGGTCAGTCAGAACCAACCGTTTTATATATAGAGATTACAGAGAAGACAATTTGAGAAAATTATTGTACCGATACTTCGAGATAAGGGTGAGATTATCTGCGATGTTGAGCAATTCATATTCATGACACTCATACCCATCTCTATTAGTCACTATATTCGTACAAATAATTTTAATATCTAAATTATATTTTTGAGAAAATGTTAAAATCAGGTTTGCCCTACAATACAGTACAGATATGGTTGATTAGCATGTACTTTACGAAAAGCAACATGGCTATTTTAATGACGAGCTCTCAAAGCTAAAAGCCTCTAAGCCTAAGAGATAAGTTAAAATAAATATAATTTTTTTGATAACTATGAACTATGTTTAAAATTTCTCTGGCTCTTATCGGCTCCGAGATCGACGCTTTGGTGCGAATGAACTCATGACCATAAAGATATATACCATGTTGATCATGATGATATATACGTTGTGGGGTAAAATATGCTTTCTTTCTAAAACATTTGAATGTATATAAACGAACGTGTTTTTAAAGAACCATATTTTTACTACAGCTTTCTATTTTTTCAATAAAAAAAAAAGCTTATGTGTATATAAAATTAACAATATATACATATTACGCACAAGCTTTGCTTCTTACAAATTCGATTCACACATTGATTCGCTCAATTGATTTTAATTAATGTTAATTTGATGCCTCGTAGTTCAAGATGTAAAAAGGAAAAATGAATATTTTTGTTGATAAGTATTTTCCAGACAGCACGACACTCTGGAAGAGGACTCAACAGAATGTTTATAGAGGGTAATAACTATTCCCTTTTTAACGTTGATTAAATTGACTATATAATTTTAGAAGTATCAAGGCAATTATTCGCTTAATTAATTATTCAATGTATTTATAATATATAATGGTAATAAGTAATGTGTCCCTAACCCGTTATCCGCGCCCATGACGAAACCACATTGGCACCCGTTAAATATCACACGTAACCGCAAGAAGTTCTCATTTCCACACCAGTATAAATTCGACTGCTTTGCCTAAATGATTCACAGACAAGTAACACCTTCAGAATGGAATCCGTTCCGTATAGCTACGAGGACTTTACATGGGTACCAAGCCTAAGTTATCGGCTATGCGGCTATGAAATACTAGATACAGGCAGGACACGTCGCCAAATGCTAATACAGCTCTACCACTGGGTCTGCGTGGGCAGCCACGTCTGTTGTGTTTTGTTCATGATACGCCGGATAATCGAGTGGGATACAATTGGTACCGATATCTCCCTGATAATACGTTATGCTACTCTGGTAACGTATGTCATAAACTCTGATACAAAATACGGAACATCTCAACAGAAAGGCGCCTTTAAACGGCTTAATAGTAAACTTTCGGCGCTCTTTCCAAAGTCCACGCAAGCACGGATCGACCATCGCGTCAACGAGTTCTACTGGCCACGCCCACTGCTCATGCTAATTGTGGTATACTTTGGATCGTCAGCTATGGTCGTATTAGGACCTCTTCTGCAGTCGGGCTACATCTATCTAATGGAGAAGCGCTTTCCCTTTATGCATTGCTATCCATATTACATATTTGATCCACAGCAGGACCCATTATGGTATTACTTTCTGATTTATGTGCTGGAGTGGATGCACAGTACCTTGATGGTCATATCGAATATGAGCACAGATCTGTGGCTGGTATGCTTTGAAGTGCAGATATGCATGCACTTTGATTACATGGCGCGATCTCTAGAGAGTTACCAGCCTCACTGGACGCATGATTCCGCCGATAGGAAATTCATTTCCGATCTGGTGGACACGCATGTCCAACTATTAGAGTAAGTATGTGCCAATTAGCAATGGTTAGATCACTTACCATTTCAGCTTGTAGCCTTCAGGATGACCTCAATGGCATCTTCGGTGGCTCACTATTGTTAAGCCTGCTTACAACTTCGGGCGTATTCTGCACTGTGGCAGTTTACACTCAGATTCAGGGACTTAATCTAGAAGGAATTACCTATGTCATATTTATGATGACGGCAACTTCTCAGGTCTACTTGGTGTGCTACTATGGCGAATTAGTTAGGATTTTGGTACCTCTTACAGGCAATGATATTCGAATTGATATAACAGACAATTCATTCTTCCAGAGCAGAAACATTACCCACGCCGCCTACAACCATAACTGGTCGGATGCAACACCGGCTTACAAAAAATTCTTGTTGATTATCATCACACGTGCACAGAGGCCGGCCGAATTAAGCGCCATGGGCTATCTGCCAGTATCGCTGGACACTTTTAAGCAGGTGGGTAAGGAGCAGAGCCAGGATGAGGCGTTGACTACAGTCTTATTTAAATCGTAGGTTATGTCAGTGACATATCGCGTCTTTGCGTTGATCAGACAAATGATCGAATAGAATGTGGATGCTAACATCAATTCAGAATATTTATTGCTTTATAATTCACAGTGTATCTACATACATAGTTTACGTTAAATACATTTGTATTACAATCACTTTGGATCCGTGGGTAACTTAAAGCCCACAAGGTCGGCTGTTTCTTTCACCGTGCGTTCGCCACGGCTATGATAATCCTTGTATAGAGCGTTGTATTTACGCAGACTACTCAGGTAGGTCAAATATGTTTGACCCAGAAAGATGGCCTCGTTGCGGGCCTTGCATAGCTGCTGATCGGTTGTTTCAAATTTTTTGTACTGCGCCAGAATATAGCGTGCAGCTAAAGAGTTTTTAATGCTGCCAGGATCATGGGCAGCTTGACGCAGCTCGTGTAACAAGGCACGAAGCACTTTAGTTCCAGCCATACTGTGGGGAAATCTTTGCTTTTGTATTGAACTTGTAACAAATAGTAAATATTTACGATTATGTGATTGACGAAAGAATTAGGAATAACAGCTGCTAGCTATGGAGCTGCCACCTATTCGCAATTTTATGTCATATTCTGGCAGCTCTATATTAATAAGTTGGCAGTTCAGTTCAAATGGTTAGCGAGGGCGCTTACAAAAAGTAGCCCAGCTGTTTTTAACTGTGCGGAAGAATTCAAAATATGATTCATTTTGAGAAAACCGACGTGCTGCTTGCAATATTGACTTTGAGTCGCATTACTCAATTATTGAATTTTGATAAAATAGAATTTTTATCAGCATGACAATAAGCTTAAGAACCGTTGATCTTAATGGTTAAAAAAAGGGGAGTTAAGAATAATCACTTTATAGTGGCATTAAGAAAGCACGTGAAGTTGGTAGCGCTGTACCCAATTAGCCTTGCCAGACTACCACAAAATATATGGACTTCGATCGGCTTGTGTTTTGCTAAACTATATATATTATATATTTTTTAAGTTGCAAAATTACTCGTAATAAGTATGAGCCAGGCCAGTAATAGTAAGTGCACATGGCGAATAAATTAACGTTAATTTGAAAATTGATGTTCCTTGGACAGTTATGCGTCTTGTTTTATTACAGTTAAAGGGTTCGAGAGACAAAACAGCAAATGTGCTAAATGCCATTAACAAAATTGAAGAGGCTGTTAAAAAGCATCAACCACGCCTCGTAACCTTACCCGAGTGCTTTAACTGCCCTTATGGCACAAAATACTTTCGTGAGTATGCGGAACAGATCCCGGATGGTTACACCAGCCAGCAGCTCTCGAAAATAGCTCTAGATAATCAGGTCTACATAGTGGGTGGCACAATACCCGAGTTGGGCGAGAACGATGCCGTATACAATACTTGCACCGTATGGGGTCCCACGGGCGACCTATTAGGCAAGCACCGCAAAATGCATCTGTTTGATATTGACGTGAAAGGCGGGATCCGTTTCAAGGAATCTGAGACACTGTCCGCTGGCAACGATTTTACAATCATCAGCATTGATGGGCATAAGATTGGAATTGGTATTTGCTATGACATTCGGTTTGAGGAGATGGCACGGCTTTATCGGAACAGTGGGTGTGAGATGATCATATACCCGGCCGCTTTTAATATGACAACAGGTCCTTTGCATTGGGAACTCTTGCAACGTGCACGCGCAAACGATAATCAGCTCTTTGTGGTAACTACATCGCCGGCTAGAGACACTTCTGCAGAGTACGTTGCGTATGGCCATTCTATGATAGTGGACCCATGGGCTAAAGTCGTCAAAACCGCTGGCGAAGGCGAGGAAGTATTGGCAGCTGATATTGACTTTGCCTTGGTGGAACAAGTACGCCAACAAATTCCATTGTTTAGCCAACGGCGTCTTGATCTGTATAGCACCGAAAAGAAGTCCAAGTGATTTATTATCGCATTTATCAAATATAAATATTAAATATTCTTAAAATGTTAAATTATTAATAATCCGCTCGTTGAGGGGTAGATGCTGTCTCCGACTCGCTAGTTGCTGACATGTAATTCGGACGTTGCACCTGACCGAAAAGCGCTCGAATAGCTTCATCTGTGGCCATCAGCGGCTGACTAACAAATTCCAGGGCCTGTAAAGCATTACATGTACAATTCCATCTGAAAATTGCTACCGCACTTCAACTTACTTGCACAGCGTACTTCTCTGCATCACAGAGCGGACTCGTTGTGGCGCTTGACAGCTTGAGCGTTGTCTCAGGAATGCCCAGACCTGAGTGCAGCACCATGCGTTGTAGTATATTTAAGTTCTCCGCGCTTAGACTGATAACATCCGTGGCGGGCAAATTTAGATAGCGTATTTTGGCCAAGAACTTCAGTTGCTTTAGTATGTCCAATTGAATTTCCCGAATTTGATGTGTGGTGTGCATCAGTTGTTTGGTTGATTCGTTAAGCATTTGATTTTTCTGCGTCAGATCGGCTTTCCAGCGAGCTAGCTCCTCGACCATAACGCTGCTGGCCAAAAACTTCGAGCGCCAAACCTCGCACTGGCTGGCCAAAAATTCGATTTGTTCTGTGTGTGTGGTTAAATTGTTGGCCGTATCGAGCAAAGCGCGAGCAAGTTGTAATTTATCCTCTGTTAGCAAATTGACGCGGGTTTGCAAATCCTCACCAACGGAGGCTACCAACAGGCTTTTGAGCTCTCCGTTTACCTGAGTCTGGAATTTATACTGCGCTTGAAAATGATCGCGCTCCTGGCGGGTTTTGGCTAACTCTTGCTTCAGTCGCTGCAGTTCATCGCTGTCTGCGTTGCTTGTATCAGCGTGTTTTACATCTGCATCCTCTAGGTCAAGCTCAAGGGTGCGCAACGTAGATACCTGGTCCGCAAGCACTCCAATGTCTAAATTATTTTTGCTAACCCGCTGAACTTTGTGCTTGGCTGTTTGCTGATCAGGTGTCATGGCATTCACGGCACCTGGATATGGTTCATAAGGCACGAATTTTGGTGGCTTGGTTTTCTTATGTTCCGGTAGTGGTTCAGAGGTGCTCACCAGCCTGGGCTTGAGTTGGACGAGTTCACCCTTCGGCAGTACAGGTGCAAGGCTCCGGCTCACAACTTCGGAGCGCCGGTAGAGCGTGTGTAGGCCAGGCAAGGGCAGAGGCAACGAGCACACGTTGCCTACGGGTGTCTTATGCACAATAACCGCTTCTTGGACTACAGTACTATCCTTACGCGGCAATTGCGGTCGCTTGACCTTATTAACAACTTGGAAACTGGCTGATGCTCTTTCCTGTTCTACTTTCGTAGTTGGTGCGATATCGGTCTGTTCCATGCCGTCACCACTGGTGCGGCAGGCGTGCACCTTTTCGCCATCGTTCGTTAGGGCATCCGCATCCATGGTAGTAAAATTAAAAAAAAAAAAACTGCTTAATATCAGTAAATACAACAAATAATTTTGTCAGCTTGTTTGCCAGCAAAACAAAAACAATAGAAACGAAGAGCTGCCAACTCGGTAATTAAACTGTGGTTGTTGCCAACAAACATTTTAAGCGTTGCCAATCGCGATTACTTGTGAAAAATCGATAATTTTTAATTTGCCCAAACGAAATAAACAACAAATTGGATACACTCTGTTATCTTTTTTTTTCCCAGTGACGCATATTTGTAAAATTACCAGTCAAGAGCTTGCTCGTATCAACCTTACCGTCCACATCTGATGCTGCCGGGCTTGTGCAAATTATATCTGATAGCATAAATGCTCTACCGGCAGCCGTCCGATTATGTCGACGAAAGAGCGTGAGCTGCTTAGAAACGTAAATGAGAAAATCGAATTAATTGAGCCAAGCACGGGAAAATTGTTTTTCGAACACAAAACTGAGCTAGTGTTTATCAAACCGCGCTTAATGCCACTAAAGTCTCGCGCTTTGGAGAGTCTCGAGGAAATGCATCGCGAAACAGCTCGCCAGCTGCAACAAAAACGCACGAAGCGCAACAAGAACAACGCTGGTGAGCTACACCAGGCAGCCGCATAGGCTGCGGCCTCTTATTATTAAGACTAGCACATCTTTGCAATCGTAAACAAGCACCTAGAAATGGCATACTTGTTGACATTCGGTATCATCGGCGCCTTGTTCCTGGCCAGTGTGATGCTGTATCGCTATGGCAACATACCACGTCAGCATATCCTTGTAACGCTATCCGTGCTGACGGCCTGGTGTTTCTCATTCCTGATAGTGTTTACCATACCGTTGGACGTAACCTCAGTAAGTAATTCATAATTACGCTGAATAAAATATTGAACGAGAATTTATTATTGCAGACGTTATATCGGCAGTGTGAGGAGAAGCATAAACCGGTTCCAGAATCAGCAGTGGGAAACACCATGGGCAATGGCAACATAACAACTACCACTATCACAACAAACAAGTTGCATCCCGATGTTTGCCAAGAGCCCTGGGGCATGGTACCAGCTTCAGTATTTCCAAATTTGTGGCGCATCATCTACTGGAGTTCGCAGTTCCTCACGTGGCTAATCATGCCGTTGATGCAGTCGTATCTGAAGGCGGGTGATTTCACAATCAAGGGCAAACTGAGGTCGGCATTAATCGAGAACGCAATATATTACGGCTCCTATTTGTTCATATGCGGCGTTTTGCTCATTTACATTGCCGTCAAAGGCGTATCGCTGGATTGGCAGAAATTGAAGGCGATCGCATCATCGGCATCCAACACTTGGGGCCTGTTTCTACTTATTCTGTTACTCGGCTATGCTCTTGTAGAGGTGCCACGTTCGCTGTGGAACAATGCGAAACCAGGATTTACGCTGCAATATGCTTACTTTAAAGCTGCAAAGCTCAGTACGGAAAAGGCAGAGGCGGAGGAGCATGTAGACGATGTACTCGAATCGCTGCAATGCATCAGTCGGGCTGTACCCAACAATCACGAGTTACGTCCGTGCGTCGAGACAATATTGCGAAAAGTACCCATTGAGCTGCAAGAACGAGCCAGTCGAAATTTTGCGCGCAGCGGAGGAAACGGCATGGGTGGAACCACCTCTACCATCGTACCCTCAGAGAAGGCGCTGGTTCGTATACACAAGCAGGTGATCAAATCATTGCAAACCCTGCAGCGCACTGAGGCGCTTTGGAGCGTGCAGGTTAATGCGGTTCTGCATCTGGAGGATGTGGCTCGGAATATACACTCGGCGGAACACCGCTTCAAAACAGAGTTTCCCCGCCAACGCTCGCAACTGGAAAGAATCTGTTGCAGCGCCACGATACAATGGTACTGGGAGTGCCTATTTAAGGCGCCGTTTCTCAAAGCGTTGTGCGTTTTAACGGCAACAATGTCCGCAATGGTCGTGTGGAGCGAGCTCACCTTCTTTAGTCGCCACCCAGTGCTCTCCATTTTCGCGAATGTCATTAATGTGGCCAACGCTAGCAATGACTTCTTTACCATTGAGTTATTTTCTATGGTGGTGCTGTGCTACTTCTTCTACTGCACCTACTCCACCATTCTGCGCATTCGGTTCCTGAATCTGTATTACTTGGCACCGCATCATCAGACCAACGAACACAGCTTGATATTCAGTGGAATGCTGCTCTGCCGACTAACGCCGCCCATGTGTCTTAACTTTTTGGGGCTCATTCACATGGATTCGCACATAATACAGAAGGTGAGTTAGCATAATATGACTTGCATTACGCCATTAATTTACACTCGCGTTTTTACAGCGTATCATGGAAACATATTACACACAAATTATGGGTCATATGGATGTCATTGGTATAATTTCGAATGGCTTCAACATTTATTTTCCCATGTGTATGTTAGCATTTTGCCTCTTCACCTGGTTCAGCTTGGGCAGTCGTGCGCTCAACGCATTAGGCTTTCAGCAGTTCTTGCAGCATGAAACTATCGCCACGGAGCTAGTGCAAGAGGGCAAGGACTTAATAGCTCGCGAGAAGCGACGCCGACAGCGGGCCGAGGAGGCAATTGCCAGACGGCGTGACTTTTCGAGACCTGACACACTGTCTAGCCATGATTATATTGGCAAATATCGTGGCGCTGCCGGCTTAAGTAGTGGGGGCATTGCTGGTCCATTGACCAGCAGTCGTACGCCAGCTGATGGTTTGCTACGAGATGGTGACGTAAGTTATGACTACGCTGCGGTAGCATCCTCCTCGGCGCTGAATGTACCACGCTCGCTGTCGGAAGAAATCAATGATCGTTTCGGTGTCAGCACCCAAATGCAGGTCGGTTTCCGTGGCGCTATTGAGCAGGAAGATGCATACGACGAGGAGAACGAACATCGCATTGTTGGACCACCACCACGGGGTCTTTTTGATGATGTATAAGCTCGAAAATTGCATTGTCTATTTATGTCTATGTATACCTTTATATATATTATCTCAAAAGTTGTTTAGTTAGTTTAATTTACGTTTAAGCTTTCCCGCTGCTGTTCCTGTCACAAATATTGTAAACATTTCAATAAAAAAAAAAAAAAATTGATTGCAGTCAGGACTTTTTACGCAATGGATAACGTTTGACAGGCTTTCTTTCTTGGAAAGAGTGGCTTTCACTAATACAGGCCAGTGGTACAATCGGCGATTCCTCGAAGTATAGCAAGCTACTAGGCTCTTCATTCTCCTCGTCTGTGCTGGGCATCTCAAGGTCGGTTGCCTTCCTTAGCTCCGAGACGGGATGCGGCTTAATGCGCTTGCGACCACGTACAAAGCCGCATCTTGAGGATAGCGGCGTTTCGGGCATTATCGCAGACATGACCATAAAAACGTCACTTTGACAGTCCCTCCCAGACAGGCCCCACAGTGTTGCCAGACATGTATGTAATTGGAATTGGCATCCTGGCAGATTTATTTAGACGCGGCTTTTTATTTGTGTACTATGTATGTCGCACCATCAATAGGGAAGCAAAACTTCTAAACTATGTAACAAATACGTAACACAAGTGGAAAGTGGTTAAGTAAATAGTCGGTCGTTTGTTTCTTCTGATTGGGGTTGCGCGCATGTGTAAGAACTGTTGTTTCTGAATCTTCGGTTTCAAACTATTCGTCGCCGCCGCCTTCCTCATCCTCGTCGAATTCGCCCTCCTCGTCGGCAGTGGCCTCCTGGTACTGCTGATATTCTGATACCAAATCGTTCATGTTGCTCTCTGCCTCTGTAAACTCCATCTCGTCCATACCCTCACCGGTATACCAATGCAAGAAGGCCTTGCGACGGAACATGGCCGTGAACTGCTCGGAAACGCGTTTAAATAACTCCTGAATGGCCGTTGAGTTGCCAATGAATGTAGCTGACATCTTCAGGCCTCTGGGCGGAATGTCGCACACGGCTGTCTTGCAGTTGTTTGGAATCCACTCAACAAAGAAGCTACTGTTCTTGTTTTGTATATTAAGCATCTGTTCGTCCACCTCCTTCATGGACATTCGGCCGCGGAAGATGGCCGCCACGGTTAAGTAGCGACCATGCCGTGGATCACAGGCAGCCATCATGTTCTTGGCATCAAACATTTGCTGTGTCAGCTCGGGTACAGTCAAGGCGCGATACTGCTGAGATCCACGCGAAGTTAAGGGCGCAAAACCGGGCATAAAGAAGTGTAGACGCGGGAAAGGAACCATGTTGACAGCGAGTTTGCGTAGATCAGCGTTGAGCTGGCCCGGGAAGCGCAGGCAGGTGGTAACTCCAGACATTGTGGCCGACACCAAGTGGTTCAGATCACCATATGTCGGGGTGGTCAGTTTCAAAGTGCGGAAGCAAATGTCATACAACGCCTCATTATCGATGCAGTACGTCTCATCAGTGTTCTCGACCAGCTGGTGAACACTTAGGGTAGCATTGTAGGGCTCGACCACGGTATCCGACACCTTAGGAGAGGGCACCACCGAGAAGGTATTCATGATACGATCGGGATATTCTTCACGTATCTTTGAAATGAGTAAGGTGCCCATGCCGGACCCGGTGCCACCGCCCAACGAGTGTGTAAGCTGAAATCCCTGTTTTGAACAAGTAATTACCTCGCCTCTGAAAAAAATATGATTAGTACCTACCTGTAGACAATCACAGCCTTCAGATTCCTTGCGAACCACATCAAGCACAGAATCCACTAGCTCAGCACCTTCAGTGTAGTGACCCTTGGCCCAATTATTGCCCGCGCCAGACTGGCCGAACACAAAGTTATCTGGTCTAAAGATTTGACCAAAAGCTCCCGAACGCACAGAGTCCATGGTTCCCGGCTCCAGGTCAACAAGTATAGCTCGTGGCACATACTTGGCGCCAGTGGCTTCATTATAATAGACATTAATGCGTTCCAGCTGTAAGTCACTATCGCCGTAATATGTCCCCGTCGCGTCGATGCAATGCTCGTCTGAGATGACCTCCCAGAACTTGCCGCCAATCTGATTGCCGCATTGGCCAGCCTGAATGTGCACGATTTCACGCATGATTACGACTACGAGAAACAATGAAATTCAATTTTGCTGGAAATATTTTTCCGAATTTTCTGGAGAGCAATTCCTATATGGAAGGCAGAAACCGATTTAAATGATTTTTACGTATAATTTTCTTACTTTTTCTCTATACGTGTATCGTAGTCGAGTCGATGTTGGAATGAGACTGGCACAACTTAAAAATGCTAATGTCCTATGCTAGACTACTTCGATCCTTCAAATTTTGAAAAGTATACAAATTTTTTTTTTTTTAGATTTAGGTGTGTGGGTATACATACATACATACATATATGTATTTTACCGATTTATTAATAATACAGGCTGTATAGTTTTGATTAATAGGAATATGCAATATATATTTAATTTACTATATTTTGAACTGGGGAATACATCTACTCATGGTGGTTGGGTTCTCTACGTGGGTCTCTCAAAAACAGAGATAATTTGGCAGCCTCTGCAGAGGCCAGACTCTGTGTTATCACTAGAATAATTTGGCATTAACATACGTTCATTTGACTGGGGCAAATTGCCGATGCCGAATCTATTAGACGGATGCACGTTTCAGGCAAAGAGTGCTTTCAATTATATCCATCGGCTGGAAATCCGGATCAATAAATTGCTCGTGGTTTAAACATCGTGTTCCGCCCATGCATGTGCAAGAGCACAGGGACACCGTCTCATCGTTCTCGGTCGTGTAGTTGTTTTCCAAGAGCTTGCCGTGCATGTTGTACGTAGACTCGTCATCAAATGTGAGTGGCTGGTTGCCAGCAGCAAGATTTTGGGCATCCTGTTCGTCCCTCTTGGCGTCTTCGGCTTGCCTATAGCGCAAAAAAAGTATACAAAATAATATTGTTCAGATCTTGAACTATAGATTTAAAGAAGAACTAACATTGTCATGAATCGTAGTACAAGCAAGTTAATACTGGCGGCTACCACAGCTAGTCCAAACAGTATAAATACCAAGCTTAGGGCCACATATCCGGGCTTGTTCGTCAGCGCCTGGTCATTTTGTAGGGCCACATAGTCTCCAAATCCAATAGTGGTCAGCGTGACAAAGCAGTAGTAAAAGCTGTCAAAGTAGCTCCAGCCCTCATAGCGAGAGAAAACCGCTGCTCCGGTCGTTATAATAATCGAGGAGAGCATTCCAGTGGCCAGCATCAGGTTCATTTCAGTGGCGTCAGTGCATCGCGCTCCACTTGCCCGCTTCGCGCGTCTAATTATCACGGATGCAAACTTGTTTAAACGCTCACCAATCGACTGGAACATAACCAATCCAAGGGGAATGCCTACCTAAAAGGGAAACATATATTAGCTTCTGATCAACGAGAGCATCGTGTGCTAGTTAATGAGTATTTAGGACCGATCATACCATCGCATAGAACATTGTGAATAACTTTCCGGCCACAGTCGTTGGCGTGGAGTGTCCATATCCTGAAAAATAGAAATATTCCGCACATACATATACATATACACGCATGCATATGCATTTATATATAGAAATATATTCCCATCTTAGTCTTAAGTCGTTTTAGATTTGTAAAAAATACATATCAGACCGCATTTGCTTAGCCCTTTATATACAGCAGTCTCAACATAAACCGTCTTTATAACTTTGACACTTTTCAATTAATCATTTATTCCGTTTGACAAAATTTGATCATAACTGGATTATTTGGCACCAAAAAAATTGAAAAGTCGGTTCAGTTATTACAATCAGCGTGCAACATGTTCATTAATATCCTAATAATCTGATCATTACTAATGATTTTTGAATGTACACAAACAAATATTAAAGTGTCTCGGTTCTTATACTGAAGTGTGTTTGACACGCATCATTTAGGTTTTTATATTTATGTTTTAAGAACTTGATGCATTTCATAAGCTTTATAATTAAGTTGCTTTCTTTATACTTAAATCAGTACAATTTAATTGCATTAATATTATATGTAATATTTACCAATCATTGCTAGCACCACAGTGGCGAAATAAAATGCGCCAGCGAATTTCCACTGAGGTCCCGCCTTGTGTGGTTTGTTCTCTATTATTACTATTTCGATCATCCGGTAGTCTTCTGCACTCACATTGTATTTCTCAACGAAATTATTCTTTATCGCTACGGCATGAGAACAAAATTTGATCCGAATTCCAATATCAATATTCAAATTCAGAGCCAATTATTAAATAAAAAGCAGCATAGCATTAAAACAAGTCGGGGTTGCCCGACTAGAGGATACCCTGAACCTTCTTCAAGTTTAACACTTTTTAGCCTATTCAATGGGTAAAGGGATACCACCGAGAAAACTACTTGCCATTTCCACATACTGGACATCCACACCAAGAACTGGTATTGATTTAAGAGCAACTAAACTAAAACAATTCTATTATATTGGCTTATGTTTAGAGAAGTTCTTGTGCTTTGCGAAAGCTAACACATATTTATTAGCTTTTGTGTTTCGCAACTGAATGAAATTGCTCGCAGTAGATCTTTTTGTAGAGAATATTAGTATATTCGGAAAAAGGCATCAAAATTATTGTGCGATTCCAATTGGCATTTGGACCGTTTTTGATTTTGCGTCAAAACGCATCGGTTATCCGGAACAAGTGTTAAGCTTTAGACGAAATTCGATATACATTCCTATCGATTGCTTGGAAAGGGGCCAAGTAATCTAAGATTTAAAAACTCGTACTGCGCGGGCACAAGAGATTGTGAGATCGACGCGTTTATACATACGGACATACAGTCGAACATGGTTAGATCGACTCAACAATTGATGTTAGCCGAGAATAAATATACTTTACACCTTGCAACCTTTATGGCCATTTTGATTAGGTTTAGGGTATTCAAAATTATAGGTATTTGGGTAATTTGTTATTCGAATTTTAAGCAAAAACATAAATACATAGCATGTCTTTAAACTGTTAAAAAAAATAAATAATGTTGGTTTCATATTGGTTAGTTGGTGCATTTGAATCTTGCCGGGGATATATACTGATCACATATATGTATGTATATGTACCTTGCAAAAATTCCCAACGCTTTGCTTCAGTTTGTGATTCAAGCGAGTCAAAGACTGCCGCTCCGATGAGCAAATAGGTAAATGTGCACACCACCAGCGACAGGGTTCTAACGTTCTGACGCTTCATGGCGCAATGGACAACAAATTCTAAAGCTGTATGGCGACAAGGTTCAATTAGCATTTAAATGTCAAGCTCAAGGCATGGGCGCAGCTCGAGGATGTAGTTAATGCAAAGCTCAGATGTTTGCACAATGCTACCTTACTTATTTATATCGCTCGTGGATGCTTGTGGATGCCTCTGTGTTGGATGCTGTCAAGGATTCTGCACAAATCGATATACCTGCGCACACATACACACGAGCAGCTTGAGATATTCTTGAGATATTTTATTCTCCTGGCTTCAAAGCTTGGTGCAATGCTGGGCTTACAATTTTCACATTTACCGCCATTATGAGGACACTATGTTTTATATTTTCACTGATATCTGGTTTTATAAAATTAACCGAAAGCCGATACGCTTTGCGGGAAAATCGGATAAGCAAAAGCAGGGTTGTCACCAGGCTAGAAGTGAGACGGGTGGCAGGTCTATTTTACGATATATCGATATATCGGGTAATCGCTTAGCTTGGCATTTGTTTATCTGAAAAGACCACGCAAGTCTTTTGGAAAGTATAAAAAGCAGCAGCGTCGCCACTTTTAAAAACATTGTGGGCATCAATGCCCAATTAATATAGACATGCTGCGCATTCGTCGTCGCTTTGCGCTACTAATTTGTTGTGGCTGTCTCCTCATTTTTCTCAGCCTATATGTAGTTCTTAATTTTGCGGCACCGGCTCCGAATGCGAAAAAGGTAATGTGCTTGTGTGTGGTTGGTTGTGGGGAATTTTGTTTAGTACCAAGTCTTTAATTAATTTATGTGTTGACAGCCAAATTATGTTGCGCTTGAGAACAAGCTGCAACAACTGGAAAATGGATTGCAGCAAGATGGCCACGAAATGCGAAATTCACGCAAACATTCTGCAAAAAGACCGGACAAAATCCGAGAAAATGACGATATTCTAGCCGTCGATTCAGTCAACAATGAAGCCGACGAAGCTGGAGAATGTGCTGACGTAGTGCATCAGGTGCCGCAAGTTGATGTCCAAATGCTCCAATTATATGACCAAATGTCATTTGCCGATATTGATGGCGGCGTTTGGAAGCAAGGATGGAACATAAAATACGATCCGCTCAAGTACAACCAGCATCACATGCTGAAAGTGTTTGTTGTGCCGCACTCCCATAACGACCCCGGCTGGATTAAAACGTTCGAGGACTATTATAACGCTGGTGAGCCAATCTCAAGTTCTATACTAACTAGTCTTACTCGGCATACGCGGAACTACTGAATTTTTCAATTTGAATGCCTAGCTTAAAACACTTCTACAATCCCCTTTGTGTTGGCAAGGGCAAGCCAATCCAATGTTAACGGTATATTTTCAATTTTCAATTCGAATTTTGCTGCAACAGACCTGATAATCACCTGCATACACTTTAATTAACATCTTCCAGAGATAATTACTTAATGATATGATAATACGTTGCTTATTTGAATTCAATTAGTTAGGAGACGCTTTAGCTCCAAATTTCTGGAAAAATTTGTTAATCAAAAAGGTTTTTCAATTTAAGAAATCAGTGTATGATTATTGCAGACAATATGATGGGGATTTGCCAAGTTTTAACCAAACTTTCAAATTAAGAGACTATCTGCTTTGACTTACTTTTTTGTGGTCGAAGTTGTCTCCTCAAAAATTAAACACTTTCCTAATGATAAGCTGATAAATTTGAAACTATCATTTTTGGTAAAAACAGTAAACATACATATTGAACACGTATTTTTAATTGCTTTGACTGAAGTTATCAATTTTTTCTGGCAGATACAAAACACATCTTATCGAATGCATTGCGGCATCTAACGGAGAATCCTGATATGAAATTCATTTGGGCTGAAATTTCATATTTTTCACGTTTTTTTGAAGATTTAGGCGAAAAGAAGAAGCAGCAAATGAAAATGTATGCAATTGAATTGGGAAATTTTAAATTAATGTAACGCACACTAAAACATTTTACAGGATTGTGAAGAAGGGCCAGCTAGAATTTGTTACCGGTGGGTGGGTAATGCCCGATGAGGCCAATTCGCATTGGCGTAATGTGCTCCTGCAACTGACGGAGGGGCAGTCCTGGTTAAATAAGCATCTGAACGTCACGCCCACCGCATCCTGGGCTATAGACCCGTTCGGGCACAGCCCTACATTACCTTACATACTGCAAAGAAGCGGTATAAGAAATCTACTTATACAGCGTACACATTACTCTGTGAAGAAGGAGCTAGCACAGCAACGGCAGCTGGAGTTCTACTGGCGTCAGACATGGGAAACGCGTGAAAACACAGCCCTTTTCACGCACATGATGCCCTTTTACTCGTATGATATTCCGCACACATGCGGCCCTGATCCCAAAGTATGCTGTCAGTTCGACTTTAAGCGCATAGGTGGATTCGGACTAAGCTGCCCTTGGCGAGTCCCGCCTCGTCCAATCGACGAAAGCAACGTGGCCGCACGCTCCGAAATGCTGGTGGATCAGTGGAAGAAGAAGGCCGAATTGTACCGCACGAACGTATTGCTGGTGCCACTAGGCGACGATTTCCGATATAAACAGAACGTGGAGTGGGATGTGCAACGTGTTAACTATGAAAAGCTGTTTGAGCACATTAACGGTAATCCGAATTTCAACGTGGAGGCACAGTTTGGTACACTAAATGAGTATTTTGAGGCGGTGCATCAAACTGGGCAGAATTTTCCTTCTCTGAGTGGCGATTTCTTTACCTATGCGGACCGAGCTGACAACTACTGGAGTGGCTATTACACCTCTCGTCCATATCATAAGCGCATGGATCGCGTGCTAATGCACTATTTGCGAGCCGCGGAAATGCTTCATGCCTGGCAGAATTGGGACTCGCAAGCTGGTTTTAGTCAAAAACTAGAACTGGCTCGCCGAGAACTATCGCTTTTTCAGCATCACGACGGCATCACAGGAACCGCTAAAACGCATGTGATGCAGGACTATGAGAAGCGCATGATAGATGCCCTTAAGGCATGCCAGTTTGTAATGCAACAGGCAGTTTATCGGCTGCTCACAAAGCCATCAATTTACAGTGCAGACTTTAATTTTCACTATTTTACGTTGGATGATTCGCGCTGGCCCGGCGTAGGTGTTGAAGAGAGCCGCACTACAATTATTCTCGGCGAGGAGCTACCCACAAAGCATGTTGTCTTGCACAACACTGTTCCGCATTGGCGAGAGCAGCTAGTGGATTTTTATGTTTCTAGCCCGTTTGTGAGCGTTAGCGATTTAGCAGGTAATTCAGTTGAAGCGCAGGTGTCACCCGTCTGGAGCTGGCATCACGATACGATCAGCAAAACCGTCAATCCACAAGGCTCCACAACTAAGTATCGTATACTTTTTAAGGCACGCGTGCCGCCCATGGGACTGACGACTTATTTACTAACGGTCTCAACATCAAAGCCCGCGTAAGTTGTACAAATGTTAAACAATTCAAATATTTTAAATTATCCTATATCCTATTTCTTTAATTGATAATGTGTAGTCACACCTCCTATGCTTCACATTTACTGTTCAACGGAAGTCCAGTTTCGGTGAGTTTAGGCCAATATCCAGAGGATACCAAGTTTAGTGAGCATAGCGAGTTTTCACTGCGTGTAGGCGCCGGGCCCATATTGGCTTTCTCCGAGTATGGCCTGCTGAAATCGATGCAGCTAACACCTGACAGCTCGCCCGTGCCTGTGCACCTCAAGTTCCTTAAGTATGGCACTCGAACGCATGGTGATAAGTCCGGGGCCTATTTGTTTCTGCCAAACGGACCCGCAGTGCCGATAACGGGAAACCCGCCTGTTGTACTTGTCAGCGAGGGAAAGTTGGAGTCGTATGTTAGCGTAGGCTTGCCCCACGTTATCCATCAGACCATTCTGCGCGGCGACGCGCCCGAAATACGCAACTTGGTGGACATAGGTGTTACCGACAACGTTGAAATTGTGATGCGCTTGCAGACGCGCATTGACAGCGGCAGTACTTTCTTCACGGACTTAAATGGACTGCAATTAATCAAGCGGCGACGATTCGAGAAACTACCGTTGCAGGCAAACTATTATCCGGTGCCATCGGCCATGTTCATCGAGGATACCAACATGCGGCTGACGTTGCTAACAGGGCAGCCGTTGGGTGGTGCCTCCCTAGCTTCGGGTGAGCTAGAAATAATGCAAGACCGGCGACTAGCAAGCGACGATCAACGGGGCTTAGACCAGGGCGTGCTGGATAATAAGCCAGTGCTACACATTTATCGCCTTATTCTGGAGAAGATCAATGGTTGTGTACGTCCCTCGAAAGCACATCCCGCTACCTACATGACCAAAGAGGCACACAAGGCTTCCCAAGAATTGCTTGATCCATTGGATAAGCTTATTTACACAGAGAATGAGTGGACAGGTGTACAGGAGCAATATGGAAATGGTCACGTGCCGGCCAACGAGGATCTTGACGTCGTTGTATTGCGACGTTTAACAAATAGTACGGCCAAAAAGCAGCGTGTTGGTTGCGTATTGCATCGTACACAGTTACTGCAGTGCAACGACGAGTCACCAGTGGAAAAAGTGAGTCCTGTTAGTCCTGATATCGATTTACTGAATCACAATAAATATTATACTTCTTAAGCAGTTTAACGTATGCAATATATTGCAAAATGAAGAGGAGCCGACACTTACCGACCGCTGTCAGCGCACTACGTTAACATTCCTGCAAGATCTCGAACAGTTTGAACCGAAACTGGCGCCTCTACTATGTCCTATGGAGACCGCCGCTTATATAATAAGTCATAACGTTGGCAATGACAGCTGAAATGCGACCATTATCTCAGGCAGTAATAATTGGAACACCTTTGACTAGGTTAATACACGCAAACTTAATTTATTGTTAAGCACGTTACATTACTTTAATACTGACCAAACAGCAATACACTGCGTATATGAATCTCAATTACGTACATTTTATTGTTTTGTCTAATTGTAATCGAAATCTCGAGAAAAGAGAGCATCGTGTGTAGTTTTAATAATTTTATTTTCTTTTGTGTGATATTTCTAAAATCTCTATCGATTTTATGCAATCAATCTTTTCATCGAATAATTCTAATATTAATTTTATGTCTAGTATTATAATATTAGATGTGATAAAATACGATTTTATTCGACCCATTCATAAAAATTGACTGTATATGATTCGTTTCATAATTTAGTAGTTGATAAAAATATTTTAATATATTATCATATTCGCAAAATAACAATTGTATAATATGCATTTTCTCTTAGCCCCACACTATGGAAAGCACTTTCGTGATTTACTTCAGTGGACAATAAGTCCGTTCTTTATGAAATTTTAAGGGGTAAACGTATGCAAACGCCAAACTGTTTTAAGTTAGTTAGTATCTCTAATTCATCATTAATCCAGTTCTCAAAACCTTGGACATATGCTAAAGCCCAGTTAAAGCTTCTTCTCAATTTTAAGAAAACAGATCAAGGCATCGTTGATTTTAAATAAATCTTGTGGTTTTCGAGCTCAGCGTCCTCTTAGGTACGAATGGACAGGCAGATATGGCTAGATCGACCGGCTGTTAATGCTGAGTAAGAATAGATGGGGTCATAATGGGTTCGCAGTTGCTTCCTGATGCCTGTTACATATATTTCACAAAACCATTTTATCTACTTGCAATTGGTTCAGGATATAAAAATAAAAGCGGATTTTTACTTTATTCGTCTGTCAAAACTGTAGAGCCCCCAAAGATTTGTCGAAGCTTTAAACTTCAATTAAACATGAAGTTGTCAATTAATATTCATACCATCGCTCATCCCGCGTGGGGGTGCATCAATCGGATTGTTTTGATAACAGTTTTCGTATTGTTCCAAGTGGGAATGGAACCCCTATTAAAATTGTGTTAGCAAAGAACGCGTGCTGTGTGGAAAATGCACAATAGAAGTTTAAATTGAATCCACATTGAGCGTAAAGTGGTTGTCTTCTGAGTGCCAACACGAGCGAGGAGACGGCTAAACTCATATGGATTGGGAGAGACATAATGAGAGAACGCTACACACTTTGCTCTCGCTCTCCAATTGGAATTGGGCAACGAAAGCAAAATTGAAACACACACAACGACACGCAAGTCACACAGATATGCATTGCTCTCACGACATGCATTGGTGTGTGTACATGTATTTATGCTTGTGTGTGTACTGCGTGCAACCACTGACTAGCCCACCATCATCACCATCGGAATTTTAAGTTCTGTACGAAAATCTCAGCTACTCAGAGAAACACAAACAGAAGCAGCAAAATATGAGAGAGGCAAAGAGCGATAAACCATACATATGTAAGTCGAGCAAGCCAAGGCAGTTTTTAGATACGACGAGCACATTCAGTGTCCAGTTCAGTTCAGTTGAGTTCAGTCAGAGTCAGAGCGTCGTCATCAGTGAGTTTTGTTTATATGCTACATATATAACAATATTACAACGAAATAGGCACAAATAGTGCTGCTGTACTATATAGATACATATATACTGACATACATAATGTGTGTACATTAATTAAAGTGGCCCGCAGGCGGCAGAAACGACATAAACATTTAGATACATATGTATGAATATCGAGTATTCAAATGAACATTTACAAAAGTGCTATCAATTGTTCAATCCAAACCGCTATGAATATTTTGTCGTTGTTGTTGTTGTTGAATTTTAAAGTTCGCCTGAACAAAAAAATTTAATTAAATTTAGTTCCGTATAGCGGACATACATACGTATGTATATAAATATTCAAAGTTGCCATGTGTATCTCTCTAAGCTCTTTGCGTGTTTGTATGAGTGTTTGAGCGTGCAAGTGTGTTTATGCGTCGCATGTTAGTTTCTTCTACGTTCTTTATGCCATCTTCTAATTTCTGTCGATGTGTGCGCGTATCTGTGTGCCCTTACTTGTATACACGCGTGCTTGCTTGTGTGTACGTTTGTGTGCTTTTTGTGAACTACGTTTTGTTTCAATGCCAAAAAGTATCTATGTGTGCCTTTGCTCGCCAGTTTTGCCTTTGCCTGGCATTCTGGTTACATAAATACTCACACCCTATCAAGACGTAGCGAATGAGTGTGTGTGTCTCTGTGTGTATGAGTGTGTTTACTAAAATGTTAATGTACTAGTTTTGAAGGTGTCCGCCATACGACAAAATTAAATTAACACTGCAAATCTAATCGTTGATAAAACCATCACATTTTCATTAGGATAAGGCTGGTTGATTTTTGAAAGCAGCTGGTCTACCACCATTAACATTAACAACAACAACAACAACAACAACAACAAGAACAAGAACAACATGTGTTAATTATTGGCAACAACAAACTGCCTTAGCCGCTCGGCTCAGCTAATTCCAATGGTCAAATGTCATGCAAAAGGCAACACAGAAAAACATTCAGAATCTGGCAAGTCCGAAGAAGAACGACATAAGCTCAGAAAAAATGAGCGAACAAACGAAAAATTAAAATCAACGACGTCATATAAAAGTGTGTCAAAGTAGCAGAGCACACATACACACTCACACATACACACCGACACACACACACACACACAATTACAGTCTTTCAGCTTGTGTGCTTGTGTGGAGTGCGAGCTGTGGCAAAGCTTTTTCTACCAGTCAGTCGCTCTCACTCTCTATTTCTCTTCATCTCTCTCTATTCTTTGCTCTCCTCTGACTGCAAGCTGATAAAGCGCAGCGCACACTGCGCGTATACATAATTTACAAACATACATACATATGTATGTATATAGTTCATATATTTTATTTAAATGTTTTTCGTTCGTTTGCTAACGAGTTTTTCACGTTATTGTTAGACATAGGCACACACACGTACACTTTTACGTAGGCGAACACACGAGATTTTCATGTTTCATAGCGCTTCTAGCAGACGCTTGAAACATATGGCGCGTGAGCATTCTTCTACAAGCGTATACGTACATGCATATATACATTTTTAGTTATATACATATTTCATATAAATGTATAAATACATACGAACGAATGAATTTACGTATTTGTATATGTATGTGTATGTTGATTATGTCATAAGCAATTTGGTCTTCCATAGGTATTCAATATATATACATTCTTTACTCAAACGTAGCGTATGTAGAAATGTGTAATTTTTGTTGAAAGCCTTTAGGGGCACAGGAAATAAAAAAGTTGCCCCAAAACTGTCTAGTGAATGTGTATGTGCAGCAATTTTCCGAGGCTTGCATGAAAACCTAGTGCCCTAATAAGCGCTAACGGCATACACAATGTGAAAAAAGGCAGGGAGTAACACACAAGAGAGAGAGAAAATGAGAGAGCAAGAGAGTAAAAGCGATAGAATCCAACAGCTTCTGCTAGGCAACCGAGAGCGAGAGCGAGAGCATTAGGATGAGAGCACGCTGTCGAGCGGGCACAAAAATTACATGACACAAAATATAATTGAAATAAATTTTTAAAAACAAACAGCTCGCTACGCAATTCAATTAAATTCAATGCAACATTTTGAGGCTATGCCTTCGGATGGCAGTATTCTACAATTAAATGGGCACACCATATTGCGCGCCAAGAAGAAGGATACGCAGCAGCTACTCACGCACCGAAAAAAATGTGATCAGTTGGGCACGTACACGTGGCACACACATTTGCATAAATGTACAATGTGTGTTTGCTGAGAGGCAGAAAGAGCGTTCCGTGTGTCCAGCGATGCTGGCTGAAAACTTTTTGCGCCAATTGGTTTAAATAACTGTTAATAAAAAATTGCTTTTTTAAGATTTGCAAACGGTCGTCGTTCAAATTAAAAACGTTTTTTAACAAATACAATTTCAGCCTAACGTTAGTGCGCGCTTTGTATATTGTATTTTGATTACATTTAGCTTGCACTCTTCACTAAACCTTTTAATTTCTTTTAAAGATATATGTGTATTTGTGTTATATTCAAAACATATATGCAAAAGTAGAACAATCAACTTCACGGGCTAGCGAAGAATTAAATGTTATCGCACACAAGGCCACTCAGCGGGCTGAACAATTGAAATGCATTTAACGAGCTAGCAGATGTGTCGATATTTGTTCGGCCACAATTGGTGACTTGGTAGATTTATTTAAAGAAAAGCACAGGGAAAGCCACAAGCAAGTCAGCTTAAATAAAAATGCGCTCGCTGACAGGGGCCTTCGGGCCTTCGGGCCACCTCATTCCGCTGCATGTTGAGCCTGAGAAGAGAGGGCACCTCAGTGCGCAGGTCCGTGAAGGGCGCAAATGGCGACGGCACCGAATTCATCGGCATCGTCCGTCGTCCAATTTTTTGCGTTAGAAACAAACGTGAGGCGAAGACGAACACGTAAAGCGGCGCGTGACGCATACGCAGAGCAACTGTGGAAAAGGAAATATACATGTGTATGTGTAGATATTATTTTAAATTATAGCACTTGCACATACATTATACACATTCATACATACAGTGTGGTAAATAAGTGTCTGTTGCAATTGTGCTCGATTGTCTTTAGATCGATAACAGGGCGCCTAAAGTGATGTCTACGTTATATTCAAAATTTCTATGAACGCAAACTCAATTCTCGTCTTAAAATTAACGCGAACTATTAAGTGTGTTTGTGTATTTTGTGTTTACATAACTCGTCTTAAAGCAAACGAAGCAACTAAAATAACGACAACAACAACAACAACTGAATAAAAAAAGAAGAAAAAATAAACGAGAAGAGTATCAACAAATTTGAGAAAGCAGCAGCAATAACAACTGAAACAGCCACATTGGAGTGTCGTATGTAATTTATAAGAAATAAAAGCAGAATATATAATATAATTATACAAAAGTGTACACGTTAACAACTGAAATCCTAATATATTAAAATACAATATAAAGAATACAAGAACAGCATATATACTAGTTAATATAGCCCCGCACTCAATTAATTGCAGCTGTATGCACGACTCCTTGCAGAAAGGTGAATATATTTATGTGAACATAAAATATGTACATACTAAGTATATGTAAGCATAAGTTCAATATTCAATTATTTACTTTATTACTGCCTTGTGTAATAGTTAAACTTACTTAGATACTTAACAGGTTGTAGTTTGTCCCGACATTCCACATCTATTTGATAAGTACTATCCAGTAATTCGAATCGTCTCTGCGCATTGTTGTGGTGTTGATTCCCAAGCTGAAACTTGTTGTCTAATGTAGTTTTCTATTTAATATTTAGCAAAGCAATAAAAAGTATATACATATGTACTTACATATGTGTTTCGTGCAAGCGATCTCAGCTTATCAAGCTGAGCTACAGGCCGGGATATCAACTGGCACTCGTTAATTTACTCGTTTATTCGCCGGGCGACTCCGACTCTTGATTCTACATTTTGTTGCTGCTGTTGCTGCTTCTAATGCTGCTTCCACAGTTGTTGTTGTCGAATGCAAATAGACATTAAATTGCCCGTTGCTTGTCGTTTCGTTTCATTTACATTGCCCAACCGCTAACCCATCCTCCCCGATCTTCCTGAGCCCCGTTGTGCAATTCATGTAGCACCTAGTAATATCTGGGGTAAACGTAGCCGCGGACAGTAAACCGTAGGCACAGTGGGGCAAAGGCACATACAAAAAAAAAAAAGAAAAAAAAAAAATCGAAATGAGAAAAGGCTTATGTAAACAAGCAAAGCAACACACCAAAAATTCGCGCAAAAGGCACGAAACGGCTGTTAACCTATTTGGCATAATTGCAACAGTGAGAGCCAACTGGCGATTCCGACTCTCTACTGATTACCCGAGCCGGAGTATCTGTGTGAGAGTGTGTGTGTGTGTGTGTGTGTGTGTATGTGTATGTGTGAATAGCTGCTTCGTAGCTAGCTCGGGTCGCGCGGTGCAGGTTTTGGCGGGCAGGTCGAGAACCACTCTGACCGTGCCAGAAATTGGTACAACTCAAGTTTAAATAAATGAATCTAAGTTGCATTAAAGGTGACAACATCTAAACTAAACAGAATGCAAATGAGAAATGCAAATATAAAACCATATGGAACTTATTCAGCACCTAAAGATAAGCTGGGAAGGATGTTGTCAAATCTTTTCAATTATGATAGGCAGCACATAATCAAATTTGAACATATTTTTGATGATTATTCATAAAATCAACAACGAAATACAAACATGTATACTGAGTGGGATTTTGATTTAGGTACTTTTTGAGAAGTCATATTTAAGCTGTCGTGGATAGGTTTCAATTTAATTAGTATTCGAATTTTCCAAATGCTTTCTTTGTGGACTTTTAACATTTAATTGTAACTCATCAATTGTTCTGTGATTTATTTGCACCTGGCATATGACCAATAAATGGTATACCTTTGGAACACCGCATTTGTTGTTTGTTCGGCTTCAATGCGTCATCCCTGAAAATGAAAAGCTTTTTTAATTCGGGATTTAAATCTGGGCTTACTCTTAACTTTATCGAAATGACGTAACAGCATAAGCAACGCAGAAAGAAGTTTAATTGAGGGGCATATCCAATAATGATCGCCGTGCATACATGCCTCCAGCGATAAATGGCTGTTCTGTTCCGCGCTTCCGTATCTTTAGCATACGCTGCGAATCCTCCGTAAAGTATTGTTGGGTCACCCCAAAGGGGAGAGTAATCCAGTTTTGTATTAGTTTGCATGGGTGGGCACAGCAGGGACAGGGCGGGAGCGGTGGTATCTGTGCAATGGTGTTGACAAAACTATGCTTCTCTCTGCACTGTGCAGTGTATTTTTTTTTTTAGCTTTGCAACAACTGGGGAAAATCCTAATCAATGTGGCAACATATTTATTGCATTCACTGCAAATAATTTCTTTCATAATTTAATTTTGTAGCTGCTATTTATCTACACTGATGCACTATCCACCCTTTTTTCCCTCGCTCTCTCCGCCCTACTCCGCCTAATTTTGCAGTGTGCCTAATGCGTTAGCTGAGCGCCAAAGGAGCTAATGGAGCAGCTGCTACCAGTTTGTCCCAGAATTAGTTGATATATTATCAAATACTTACTTTTAGATATCAATTCATATTTATTTGTATAATAGCCTAATTGCCATTAACTCTATTGACGTAAATATAAGTAGAAGGATAGACAATGCCTTTGTATATGATAATGGAATCAAGGACAAACAGTTGACAAGCAGAACTCGGTCGAATTTGTATAAGTGAAATGGCGTGTTTTAAATGAAATACTGTCTTACCCTAAAAGAAAAGTGAGCGATTTCTGACTATTTTTATATACTTAGCTTTAAAGCAGGATTAAGCACATTTTCAAATTGATCAATTTTATGGGCTAGCTCCTCTGTAGGTTTTCACGTCGACTCTAATAAGAGCCACAATAGAACCCAATTACACAAATAGCACACTGTCGCGCCAGCTCTCGAGAGCAGTCACACAAGTAGACATGATTAGAGCGAAAGAAGAGTCCTTCCACTTGTTTACTTGTCTCGGCCCCATGCCGTACTCAATTAGTTGTTCTTGTTGATGTTGCCATTTGACTGCCTTTTTGCTTTGCTGATTTATTTATGGATAAATTATAGACGCACCTTTTATTACGAGCTGCTGCTGCTTGGGTAGGCACCTGCCAACAGCAACAACAACATGCACACTCACAACCACAACCACACACACACACACACACACACACACACACACGAGGTTGGACGAGCGACCCAGCGACATAGTTTGCGCTCGCCCGCAACTTGCCACACAAATTTGCATACAGCACAGGCACACAAACACGAACACACACACACACACTCACATAGCTGGCTACATGTCAATTGTCCGCCTCCCTGCATTGACGCTGAGGCACTCGTTTGGCCTAATTGTGCGCTTTTGATTTAGTTTCCATGACGTGAAGGCAGCTTAGCCAGCTCCAATGTTCGCCCGCTCAGCCCATTGCAGCTGACAATGTGCATGTTGCGCTCAATCGTACTCTCTTTTGTTCTCTCTTTCTTCCCTCTCTCTCTCTCTCTCTCTCTCTCTCTCTCTCTCTCTCTCTCGCGATGCCTTGTGATGCTCTCTTGGAGAATTTTGCTAGCCTCAGCATTTTGCTGTTGCCACTGCACATTGCTCGTACCTTGAATATGTTTTATTAATTTAGTTGTAGCTCGTTCTTTTTGTTGCTTGTTTTTTTTTATAGCATTGGCCAAAGCGTGCTTTCAATATGCTTGGCTAGTTGTTGCTGTTGTGCTTTTATTTATTTTTAAATTATTACGTGGGGTAACCTTCACCTATTTAGGGTAAACGAACAGCTCGAAATTCGAACATGTTTGTTAGGTTTATTTTGGAGCAGCATTTAGAGAATATACAAATATGTAGACAGTTATGTAACAGTTTAACATGCGTATATAAATTTTCTATTTACTAGTAGCATATGTAGCGGGAGGGAGGGCGTGGCGTATACGTTATATGGTGACAAGTTCAGGGGTCTTCCGTCAGACAAGTGTTAAATTCTAATTATATGAGCTTATTAATATTTATAATTTGGCTACCAAACAGCTGACAAGTTCCTGGCGGCGCCTTTTATGCCGCGTCGCCACAAACAGGGCAAGCCATATAATATTTATAACTAGCGACAAGCACACACCGACTACCCACACATATCTGCATGTAAAACAAAAGATCTCTGAGCCGAGTCAACGAAATCTAAAGCCAAAGTCCATGGAAACCAAGTAGTCGAGCAGCAGAGCTGTTAAAGCCGCTTAACCCATTCGTTGCTTCTCGTTTACAAGCTGCAACCCTCAAAAACAAAAACCAAATAAAAATAAAAAATGATATAAGTATATGCCGTAATGACAGCAAATATGCCGCAGTCTCTGCCGCGGATAACGGCTAACAATGAGCATAAATTATGTGCACAAAGGATGCAATGGTAAAGAAGGATACCGCATGGCACTACTCGGCTTTTACATACAAGCACTCAAACTGAAGGAGCTGGACCTGCTCTGAGCAGTGGGAAGCAAAGGGGAAATAGGGGCGTGTTCTCGGTCACTTATACTGCTTGAATAGATGTCGATGCGACTCTGTGTAAATATTTATAAACACAAACACACTCACACACACACAGACACACGCAAGCACACGGCGTCAGGGAACCCTTCATTGTTGACGACATCTCCTCCAATCCATCCATGGCAATTGCCACTTTTATCTGGGGGTCAGTGGGCGTTGGTAATTTCATATCGCGTGCTTCCTTTATTGATTTTCGCTTTCGTTTTTCATGCAACATGCGAGTCAGCAGCGAGAAAAACAAGAACAACTGTTTACATATGCGAGTTGGATTAGCTTGAGCCCAGAACACTGGACGAATGTAAAGCATGTAAGAGGTTCTAGTCGGGAGCTCCCGACTGGGGAATACCGTGAATCCTCTTCTCCTCTTCTCTCAAATGCAGATACATATTCTATTTTAGAAGCTATATGTCAAGTTTGGTGACTCTAGCTCTTATTATTTATCAAAATTGCCCAAAAACAGGATATCGATATCGATTTTCATCGATTGTTTGGAAACAGAGTAAGTTATCGAATATCGGAAACAAGCTCGATCTGCGCAGGCACTAGGAGCACCTACATCTAAAATTTCAGTCTCTAGCTCTTATAGGTTCTGAGATCCTTGCGTTCATACATACGGACGGACAGACAGACGGACATGGCTAGATCGACTCGGCTATTGATGCTGATCAAGAATATATACACATTATGGGGTCGGAGATGCTTCCTTCTGCCTGTTACATACATTTGGATTTTGCACAAATACAATATACCCTTATATCCATTTTTAATGGGTTCAGGGTATAAAAATACAAACAGAAGTATTTCAAGTTTTAAGTCCACGAACGGGTGCCGATAAAATCATCGAGGTGGTCTCCTGGCCACCTCCCCCTATCGCAAGTCCATTCATATTTGGCTCCCTTTTAGTTGTCTGAAGTGTTTACCTTGTGCAGGCCGTGTCCTTGCCAGCGGTAGCAATATTAAAACATGCCTTAAAAACTGTCAAATTCCAAAATGTCCTGTGGGCAAGCACAAGCGATTGAAGCTTAACTTTATGATGTTTGCGCTTTTGTTCTGCACCCTCATGTCGATGGCAACTTCCGCTCTGTCGTTACTTCCGCTTCCCTGACCCATTGGCCGCTTACAAAGCTTACTGATTCCCGGCCCAGTTCGGCCCTGCCAGTTATCAATTGGCCCGGCAGCACTGGATTCACAAATTGCTCGCCTCGATTCGTATCCATTGTTAATTTAACTATGTGTGTTCGCATTTTCTTGTTCCGTTTTCATTTGTTAAGGCTGTTGTTATAATAGCGTGTGCTATATTTTCTTTTTTTGTATATTGTATTTTTTCTATTACTCTGGCTTCTGTTTCATTGCTTTGCTGTTAACCATTTGCCAAGCTACAATTACCAATTTGGGCTAATTATTTGGTACTCGCTCGGCTTATTGCTTTATGCAGCATTTGTGGCTTCGCGAAAACTTTCGGTAGGTTAAAGTTTAAGTTCAAGCAAGCTCAAAAGTATGCATCGAAAAAAAATGGACAAAAAACAAAAACTTATTTATTTTACACTGGCAGCTTGTAAGGAAAATGAAAAATACTATAGATTTATTATTCAAGATAATACGGATAGATTTTATTGTAATCTAAAATATTCAAGTAATTGGTTCAGACATTTTAAATTAAATAATCATGGAATCCTTGTGGAAGATTTAATAGAAATAAATACTCTATTTTAGATTGGTGTTTCTACATATGTAAATGTATACATATGTATATACGGGACAGCTTAAGAGAAAAAAATAGTCCATAATATTTGAAAAATTGAATTTTTGATTATAAGCCAGATTGGTTCCAGAGTCTTTTAAACAGGTCTTAACAAACATAAACAAGTCCAATATGCTTACTGTCCAAGTGTTTGCGTCCTTTGTAATGAAAAGCCAAAGACAGCACGATTTATCGCACATGATGTTTGTCAAAGTGCGGAGATAAAAGATACAGCCGCTTAGAAAAAGATACGACAGCAGCATTAACAGCCGCTGTCAGCAGATTTGTTCAGCCTTAGAAAAGGCGATAAATGAGAACAAATGGACAAACAAAACAATATTCTTACAAATGGGCATCCGTTCTGCTGCTGTTTTTCCTGTGTTATATTCGACTGACGTACGGCTGTAAATAAGTATCTAAAGTTGTGGCAAATTTCATATCAATGCGAATAATGGCAGGCAGGCAATTGTGCGCTTACTAACTATTGCTAAATACTTATGTTTGTGTGTATTGATGCACTCACTCGATGTGCGGTTATCGACGACAAGAAAACACCAACAATAATAAAGCAACTGAGCAGCCAGTGAAGACAGTCATAATAAAAACTATTTACTGATAACAAAGTAAATACACACAAGCACACACACACACTTAAACTAAAATGCTCACAGATACTAGCAGACCATGTGAGAGCGGCTGAGCAAACACTTGCAAACAGTCAAACAGTTTGAGAAAAAAGTATATAAAAGATACAGCAATGCTCTCTCTCTCTCTCTCCCTCTCCCTCTCTCTCACTCCCTCTCTTGTTCTCTCGCCTCCATACACTCTCTATTGCTCTCTCTACTGCTCTTGCCGCTCGGTAAACGCTTGAAATTCGTAGATACTTTAGTGTGCATGTGTGCATGTTTGTGTGTGTGTGTGTGACGTTCGTTTGAAATTCATTTCGTTTTTAATTGTTTTCAGTTTTTGAATTTAGTTGTATTTGATTTTCACGTACTCGCACAGCTCCGAGCTCGCTTGCTGAGAACTTTTTACTTATGCGGACATAAAGTATTTTCAAGTGTGCTTTGCAGCTAAATTCGAAAAAAGACAGCCTATAAAAAAGTAACCAAAAACTACATTGATGTGAGTGCGCCCAGTGTTTTTTTGGGCAATTTTTGACGCTAACAATTTGTTAAATGAGCTCCAAGTGGCTGCTCGCAGTTGAAGTGTGGAGTGGTTCATGCGATTGCGGCGCCGCAATCTACACAAAAAGCATAAAGTGTTAAAGAAACTCTTATCAGGCTGCAAGCAAGCCATTCAATTAAGCAACAGCTTGAGCCAAATCATTTTATTGATAGGGTGACTGGGGTGGGGGCATAGAAACCCACAGAATGTGCAACTCTGTAACTTCACTTGATTTGTGGGATTTGCTTTTGCTTAATTTTCTTTCTCACATTTATAAAATTTCTGTGGCCATTTTGGGCTCTCGTTTCTGGTATTTTGTTGGCTGGCTGTTGTTTTTTGTCCGTCTGCTACTTCGCCTTATCAGCGAATATATAAGTAAAAAAATAAAAAAGCAATGCTTATATATAAAAAAAATAATATGAAAACCTTATCGCCTTCGCCTCCGCTGTTCTGATAAGTTCTGCGACTTCGAGATAAGATTGAATTTTGTTTTATGTGCCTGAGGGATGTGTGTTATAGGCGAGCATATTTTGTACATACAAGTTGAAATTTTGTCAAGAATATATATTACATACATGCATATTCTATATATATTCATTTTGCTATCTTTGCATAGAGGGTTTAGTTTGCTTGCAGCTTGGTGCTGACCGCTTTTCAGTTGAAAACAAACTTCAACCTATTCAAAGCTTAAGCTTTGTGAGCGCCAACCGTGTTATAAGTATTAAAATCAAGTTTTTGTTGCTATTGAAAAATAATTGCTTTTTATTCGTTAGGTGCTTTAACTAGTTATAGCTAAATGTAAATTCATATTTAAGGCGGTTTATTAATATGTATATGAGATGATTTGTCACCTTGACAAATAGTTTTGAAACATTCGTGACCTAACTTTAATAAATACATTAAGCAACTGAAAGACACATTTGTTAAAGCATAACGTCTGTATAAAACTTTGACAATGCCATTTAGCCGCGTGTTAAGAGACAACAGTCTAACAAAAGTTTTTACAACATTCCCGATTTAGATTAGCCAAACGAAAAACGTGTCATATTATTATAGATATCATTCATGTGGTTCTCACTATTTTGTACCTTAAATCAGCTATTAACCTTAAGATAATGCAATCATAATTGAAATAAAAGTTTTGTGAATCAGCTCTGAATTTTTAACCGCACTCAAAAGTCCTCACTCTGATTGAAAGAAATTCTTTATTATGCAAAGGCCCCAAAGCAGCAGCTGCATGGTATCCATCATCATTAACACATTTTCGGCTTGAATGCATCAGTGACGTTGGGGACGTTGGGGACGATGTGCAACGATAGCGACGACATCTTCGCGTTCCTCTAATCAACCGTATGCCGAGACAGTCTTTTGCATTTTCCTGATATAATTCATACATACAGAAATATATATATATATTCTGATATATTTCAGGGCAAACGAAAAGAGTTCATATTTAAATTTGTGCCATTTATTGTAATATCAGGTGGGTTTTAGAAAAAGCTCTAATTTGCCATGGCTTAAGCGAATCACAGAAGAAGAAGAAGAACTTTTAGAATGGCTTTCGAATAAACAAAGATGTCCAGAACTGCATTATAGCTAAAAATTGTAGCGTATCTAGCAGTGTAGCATTGTCGTCATATATATAAGCTTTTATTTTTGTTTTATTTATTTTTTAAAATTAAATTTCAAGGACACAACGCACACACCCTCACTACAGAGTCGAGTGTTTTGTGTTGCAATGGTAAGAGGGTTGCAGGGACTTCCCCTAAATGACAGTTGCGTTCACATTGCCAAGTTTTTCGTTTGGTTTTCTGACTTTCTTCAAGAAAACGAATTTATAGCCATTTTGTATCATCTCGACATATTAGGCGGACATTTTCTAGCAAATCATTAATTTAGTTGATTGAAATACTAAATTAGTAATCGCGCAAAAGTAACAGGTTCTCGTTACTTGTCCCTCGCTCCTAGATTCTCTGGGAGCTGAAACCTTCATTAAGCTAGGAACTTGTTTTGCGGCAACTGCTGCTTAAACAAATTTTTTTTTCTCGCTGATTACTAATTTCTTGAGTGAATGCAAATTTGTTTTTGCTTTCTGCCATCATGACAGGTTCTATAAAATAAAGAGAAAAGACCAGAACAATGTACGGGTGTATATGCGAAAAGTATCTATAGAACGATTTTGGCGTTGTGTAGATTCTTTCGGCCTGCTTGCATACGAAAATCTCTTGTCTGTGCACCTCGTGTAGCTGTTATTGTGGCTACTGTGTTTGTTAGTGTTGTTGCTGTTTTGTTGCTTTGCCATCTCGTCGATTTATTGCTTATTTTGCTTTGCAGTTGCTGCTTAGCGGACAGAAATTTATTTAATGGTCAAGGTCGTTTGCAGTCAAATCAGATACACTTATATTTATGCACACACACACACACACGCACACACATACCATCAAGCACATATAATGCGATGCCCGCACTCGCCCGTAGCAATAGCAGCAACAACAACAACAATCACGATCAAAATATTTGTATAATTAAATGCCATTTTAAACAAATAAATACGCGTCACTTTTTGTTGGTGTTGCCGCTGTTGTTGTTGTTGTTGTTGTTGTATTGTCTTGGCGCATATTTAATTACCAATGAAATCATAAAAACCAACTCATCCATAATTGAGTTGCAAGTTATAATTTTCATTGCCGCGTGCATCGAATTAATAAATTGGGGGGGTTACACAACTATTGAAAGATAGGTCTATGGTCTATAGGCCATGGCTGTTTTGGCCGCATTCATGATATTATGACATACTTGTGCTAATATCGTTGTATGCAACGAAACGAGTGTACATGTGTCGACAATTCAAAAAAACAATTGAATAATATTTTACAAATTATACGTGTAAATGAACATGAGAAATATAAAACATATAATATTATATAGTATAGACGCGCCAAAGTCTCATTCAAATACACAAAACGGGAAAATGTTACTTTATCCTTCTGCGAAATGTATCGAGTATCTACTTATTTATCTTCTACATATATTAGTGGGCTATTTGTAAAACTGGAAGCTGAACGGAAAATGGTGCACAAATGGTCAGCACAAATACTTCTATGAAGTTTACGTGTAATCAAGTCTATAGATAAACATACTGATTAAATACTTTAAATAGGTGTCTAACATATTGTGCGAATATTTGCGTTTATATGCAATTACTAATCAAATTGAACAGTTGATTTCCGTTAAATCTGTACCATTAATAAATCTAAATTATTCCTTTAATAAGATGGGGAGTTTTAAATAGTTTGCTGGAGTTGCAGTCGTATGGTCTCATATGGACCACGATCCACGATTCTGTCAAATTTGTTAACAGTATCCATACAATAATCTATTTACTGAGTCATCTTTCCAATGAGTCATCTTGTTGTTGTCTGGTTTTTTTTTACACAAATATTAACATTCTCATGCTTATTACTAGCTAAATCTAATTGTTGTCTTGTTGCATCGATTACATTTGCCTGCGTGACCCCTTGCCCCTCCTGCCAACTGCCTGTTAATTGAATGCTCCGCTTTTAATTGCGCTCATTTTGTATAAAGACATAAATGAAAAGTGTTTTGTGTTAATCTAATTGTAAATGTTATTTAACGCGCCACTCTCAATTCTTAACACCTGACTCTCAGCTCTCGACTCTAGAATCACGTCTGTATTAAAATATTGATACGCACATAAATATAATATACATTTTACATATGATGCCTAAATGTTTACTGTATGTATGTATATTTATTATTGCTGCATAATTCACTCATATATATTTTTTTCTTTTTCTTTTTTCATATAAACGTTTACCAAAAACAACTCGCACATTCCACCACCTCAAAAAAAAAAAAAAAAACAAATATAATAATAATTATAACGAAATAAAAATAAAAATAATACACAATTGTCACGCAATAAATAAAAACCGCCATTAAATCAAACGCAATCAACAATAAACCAAATCTAGAAGGACTACACGATCATATACCTATAGTATATTTAGAGGCTTGACTAAAAGTTTGAAAACTTATAATTATAATTGTAAGTCGCCCGACCGCATATGCGTCAGCTTGTTAGCGTGTGTATATGTGTGTCTGTGTGAATAACGATCATTAGAGCCAAAGGATTCTTCAACATCAAAGTAAGCAGCCTCCAGAAAGCTGTTTTAGTTCAGATGCCAATTGCGGAATCGCTCATATAGAAGTATCCGTATTCGTTTGATCGATCGTTCGCTCTGAAAGGCTCTGACAAGAAACGAAGGCTCATTTGCCAAACATTGAGAAATTTTTTCAAAGAAGCGGATCAATCAAAATAATTGCAAACTTAAAGCAAACGGAAACAAAAAGCAAATACTAAGGCAATCATCACTTAAAGTCGAAGACTATTCTTTAAACAATTCAAACAAAAGCCAGCAACATTCAATTAAAAATGGCCGAAGACGCTGCCATGGAGACATGTCCAAGTCCTGAGATGGGCGACTCACGCAAAAGGCCGCTCGATTCCGATCCGGAAAATGAACAAACTAAACGCTCACATTTCAGTTCCGGTAAGTTTTGCAATCATTTCAAAAAAAAAAAAAAAAAACAAAAAAAAAAAACAGAAAAACAAAAAAAAAAACCAAAGTACATAATGAGGAATAAGTAAATTTCAATCGCTTTTACATATACTACTATCATAATCGTGCTCTTTGTCTCTATCTAACTATCTATCTATCTCTATCTATATACTCACTGCCCTATTTCTCATTCTTTACCAATCGCCGCAAAGCGTGTAAATATTGTTATTCATGCCAAACAACTCACTTAAGCATAGGCATTGCTGCCCAGCTTGTTGCTTTGTTAATTTCAATAAGTTTGCTCTTTCGCCATTGTCATCTTTTAATTGACCAGTCTTCGAAGCTCGTCAGGCTCACCTGAGGCAGCTCTCGATGTTCCGGACTTCTAAATAAATGCAGAAGGTAATCAATCACGATGTCCACATCAGACGTACACAAATTCCTTTGACAGACACAGGACTGAGATTGACCCATATTTATGTTGACCTCTTTGGCACGGTGACATATCAGTAGGTGCATTTGGATTGCTATCGGGTTAACCAAAGCTGGCTCAATGGGTCGGCAATGTCTCCTCCATTTATATGCTAAGTGGCTGAGATTAAAATGATGATGCTACACAGCTGCCTACTTATTATATTCAAAGCATCTCAAATCATTTGACCACGACATGGACAGACACACAGCCAGATCAGCCATTGGCTGGTTGCTTGACTTGATTACTTGTGCGACTGGCAACCTGCTAGCTTCAAGGTGAGCCGCGACGCAATCCAACTACCTGTCCTCGCATCGCATCGCATCGTATCGCATCGAATCGCGTTGCTCGTTGTTGTCTCGTCATCGCCGTCAGAGACATAAAAATAGCAAAGACCGTAAATCTCAGAGGCGGTTTTGTTTTCGTGTTTAAATGTTTTTGTTTTTGTCTTATTTTCGCCCCAATCCCGCTCGCGCTCCCGCTCGGGCCCGCCGCCTGCGTAACATTTGACTTTTAGTTTGAAAATACTTAGATCATTCGCAATGTGTGTGTTTGCCAAGTCAAAAACACGTTTTGTTGTTTGGATTTGGAATTTCTGAATTGTGCGCAGAAGCGTGCTAAGCAACTGACCGACTGCCGCCCTGACTAACTAACTGACTGGCCTATTAATGCATGTCAGTCAGAGCTTTAAGAGCTAGCTAAAATAAAGATAGTTGCATAATAGTACAGTAAATATTCAATACTTTATTCAAATACAAACTTTAACGTAGAAAGTTTTAAGTGAGAATTATATTTGAATAATTAAGTTTAAGCTATAGTCAACTGGAAAGGAGTTGGTTTCTTGAGTTTAATCAATTAATAAGTCTATGCATTAAAATAAATCATTGAGTACACGATTAGTGCTAAATATATGGGGCGACCGCCAATGGCAAGACACACATTCAGAGGAAAAAATACTCCTATGAATTACGGCCGGAATCGTTTAAACTTAATAAAAGTACTAAGCTTCGATTGTAATATTCCTGATACATTGTACGCCAAATCTTAATTGCTTGAAAGGCTTCCCGAAGATTAAGCAAAGCTTATCTATTGTTGTTCTAATAAAGAAACTATAGTTGTTTAAAGTCATCAACTTTTTGATTTACCCACGTGCACGAGGTACGTTTTGCTGTTATTGCTAATGGTATTGTTGTTAATTAACTAGCATTGAAATATTTGTAGATATGTATGTGTAAAGTTTTGTTATTTTTGTTGCTCTCGTCATTGCTGGTCGTAGAACAGGTCCATGGCATGTGTCAAATGTTTTTCAATATATATGTATAAGTGCTTGGACACACACAAACACACATACATACAAACATACAAACATACAAGCATACACACCAACACATGCACAGATGGGCAACTTGTTTATTAGTTTTCAAACAATTTATTTGTTTAGCTGTCTTGACAGCCATCCATTTATTAATATTTATTTCGTTCGTGTTGTTTATTGTCACTCGCTGCAGCGGCTTGAATAGGCAAAAAATTCGGTTTTAAAGCTGTATTAAACAGAAAAAAACGTAGCATAAGGGTCGAATATGTTGCGGACTGGGTGCAATGGGCGGCAGCAAGTCTGCAAGGAAATGCAGTAAAAACCCCAAAAAAGTGACGATAACGGGAACGGGATGGGGTTGGCTCACATGTGTCGCTGTGTTACGTAATCAATGTTGATAGAGCTTGCTTGGAAATAGATGCGCAGGGCACCAGAAAGTCCGAGCCAAGAGCCGAGCGCTTGTCCCAGAGCAAGTAGAGAGATTGAGAGGCAGAGAGCGCTAGGGTTGAAGAGAGAGCGCGCGGTTGATGCTGCTGCTGCTATGACTGCGCTGTTGACCTAGTTTATTGACAATGCGCGACTGTGCGAGTGTGCGTGAATATGTGTGTCTGCGTGTGCATCTGTTTGCTTGTGTGTGGCACATAACCATTGCCTAGACAAGGTCCTGCGCAGTAGCCGTGCAGAAGAATGCGTCGTCTGCTGCACTGCAGCATTGGGCGCCATTGCAGCGGCAGCCGCAGCATTCGAGCCTCCATGGCAACGTCCTTGAGCATACACACGTATACACGCGTGCAACACACTCACACACACTGACAAGCTAGCATATACATGCACAAAAACACTTGCACTGAAAATGGGTTACACCTTGGCCACTTGTGCAGACTCAAACTGTGATGCTGTCGCCTGTCGCGTGGCCACTTCAAGTGCGCTTATTGCCTGCGGGCTCTCTTTGTCCGCCCACTCCGTGAAGTGACGCTCTCTTACAGTGCTCTCTCGGTGTCTCTCTGGGTATATTTTGGGTTACCTTATTCTTAACACATTCTTTTGTTGCTACTCAAGTGCTGCCCATGTGGCCGTGTCGCTGCTGCTGCTGCTGCTGCTGCTGCACTTGTAAAGCATCTCTGTACACCCTCAAGTGGCCTACTAATAGCTCGAGTGTCATGTCGGTTAGATAGGTGCGAGTGTGCTTGTTTTTTTCTTCTGTCTAGGCAGTTTCCGCCTATTATGTTGTCCTCAAAAACATGAGCACGGTTATCGATAGATGGGCACAGGCTTGGCTTTCGTTTTCAGCTTTTGTGGTGCAACGCCAGTGGCATATGTAGTCGAATTGGGAAATTGGGTCACTTTGCTACATAAGAACATTGTTGTAGTGCTTTTGGCACTAGCAGAAAGAACAAATGTGACTACGCGGCGAATGAGCAATTTGCGGTGTGCCGCATTAATAAATCACACATACGCAACGTGGATAGCTGCAAACTATTTATAGACACTTTTCTCCCTAAAAGCGAATAACTAAGTGTTAATCACTACTGCTTTGCTACTAATTATTCAAGCAGACTTTGGGGAACCACAAAATGTTAAGGTAGAATAAGATTGACCTCAAATTGGTATGTGGATCTGATGGGGAAGTTTTTACCAAAGAAAACTAAAAAAGCAAAAACATATGTCGAGACACATTTAGATAGTGGAGAAAAATTTAGTTGAAGATGTGCGTCCCATTTGATTTACAATTAAATGACCCATATATATATATATAGTTTTGTCAAAAAATGTGGGCGTGCTGTGATTTAATATCATTGGATATCATTGGAACTTTTAATGAAGTTTTTCTGCTTGCTCCGCAAACTTGACACGTTGTCTAACCCTGTATCTTTTTGGCTTATCGGATCGTTTCACAATACATACACCGCTGCAGCATTTTCTATTTTAGTCAGAGTCAACTCCTCCCACCATGTGCCCTGTTTCCTCATCGCTTGCTGCTGATAATGGAAGCAAAAACTAAGAAAAAAAAACAACAATTTTTGGAGTGAGGCAACATCAAAACTCGCACATTAGATCATAGCGCGCGCTCTTGTCACACACACACGCACACACAGACACACACACACATACATACGCACACTCACAGACACTACTTGTGCATGTATATGTTGTATATACTGATGGTATATGATCGCAATGACTGACTCATTTGGATCACTCTCGCTCTCTGATTTTGAATGTGGCGTACTCTTCTCTCTCTCGCTCTCATTTGAACTCTGCGCTTTGGGCCCGCTTTTCGCTCTGTCTCTATCTCTAGTCTCCGTTTCCATCGTCGTTTTGCCACAGACCAACAAAATTCTTCAGTGCGGTTTCAGTGCGCGCCGTTGCCGATCGTCGTTCAGTTATTGCGCTCGCTCCTCGCTGTTTCGCCTTTCATCCGCACAGCAATTTTGTTAGTACAATCAAATTGGCTGTCAAATAACCAGCATGCTGTTTGGCAGAACGCAACAACAGCCGCCGCTTCAACATCATCATCAGCAGCAGTCGCATCAGCAATTGACGCCGCCGCTACAATTGTGTATGTGTTTTCAAGTGCAGTTTTAAGTTATACACATACACAACACACACACACACACATACACACACACACGAACACACCCAAATATCCACACCCAGCTGAGTTTGTATAACACATAGATGCACATATAAGAGCTCGGTATCGCTTGCAGTAAAAAATTACTCAATGACCTTGTTAATTAGCATCGTTGTTGCAATTTGTCGAATTGCAATAACAACAGCCCGGCCAGTTAGCGAATATATTTTTTTTTATCTAATTTAATCACATGAGCAGAGACGTTCAGTAAATGCTTAGCTATATATCTGGGTCCACGCTGCGTATGCGCAAGGTGACAATCGCAGTGTCTAAGTCTCATTTTCATTTGAAAGTTGTCATTTGTTTTCAGCCCTAGCAAGGCGAGTACTTCTATCAGTCAGACACTCATTCGCTCAATCCCTCCCTGACTCTTGTTTACTCAATTCAATACGTGATCGTAGCTCAAAGCAACCATTCGAATACATCGACAAGTCAAACGAGTATGTGGAATAAATTCGAAAGCAAGCATTTGCTTACAAAATTCCTCGATTCGAAGTTGAGGCAAATTTAGCTCAATGTCAGCTGCATTATAATATTACCAAAACTAGTCAGACTTTGTGGACACAAAA